TTAGCAACATCATATGACCCCTTTAACTACATGTACTTACTATATGGTTATGGTTTGTCTTAGGGTTACTTGCATGTAAAAAGTTATTATAATAGTAAGTACATGTGTAACAAGGACACTTTAAAATAAAGTGTTACCACTTGTTACTATCAGCATTTTTTCACAGACTGTAAATGTTTTACTAGATAAGCTGATGTTTAATTTCAGTTAGAAATAACAGACTGACTCTTTTCTGATCTTAACAGTAACAGTACAGAAGTCATTAGTGAGGAAGCACTGGAGCAGGTTAACAAACTTTAACCAGTAGCCTTGACTAGTGCTGTGAACTTTACTCGGAGTTAAGCTTTCACCAACAACAAGCCTATAAACTAATACAAGTAAACCAAAGGTGAATTTGATCGTGAAAGAATGAGATCGCTGCGGTTTGGCTATATTTAGCGTCGCGTCGCGTCTGTGATCCTCTTACCTGTCCCTGGCCGCCCCAGGAGCCGTTATACACGCCGTCGTTGTCCTCGCTCAGGCCCAGCTCTCTCAGCCAGCTGTACTGCGGCCGGTTAACGAGCAGCGTCGACATGTTCACCGCCGCAGCTCCGACACTCGGCGACAGTTTAATCCTCACAGCGAAGAGCCGCGCCACTCTCTGCGTCAGCACGCGCTGCATGGTGAACTGACGCACGCAGCCGAGCGCCACGCGCATGCCTTCCGTGGTCACGTGCGTACGGCGCTTCTGATTGGTCAGCCAGCGACTCACCCCCTTCAAAGACACGTATTTTGATGTTTCAGACAGATCCGCTGAACAGCTACTGCATTTGATCAATATCCCTGTGCACAGACATGTCTCATTTAGTAGAACTCATACATATCAAGTTTAAATCATGTGTTCTGAGGAAAAGTTAATAAAATTAGTAGGGTTAGTGTACCCATTAAGCCACCAAAACCTAAGGTTAGGTGTTTTTCATAGATACTGACATTGTTTATAAGAAAAATTATTGGTTACAATGCAATATTTATCTCTCATTTGAAAATTTATTAATTAGTTGATGTACATTTTAGAATATAAAATTAAAATATTTTATGAATAAAGTCAAAAGTCTGGCATGGTCTTTCGGCACATTTTAGCCCGCATGTGTTAATAAGCCCACATCATGATTGATTCACAAAAATACTAACATTTATTGATTTTAAAGAAGTAAAACATCATTATATTTATTCAGTGAGAGCGAAGTATTTAAAAAAAATAATTTTACTAATGTTTGCTAGCGCTCATCACCTGTACCAATGACATCCAACCTGCTGAGCTTCAGCTCACTCTCTCCCAGAAGTGTTTACTGTGCCCTCATGGTAAAGCCGACATGCCTCTAGGATTTTGGACAGGTGCTGTAGTTTGTTTTCTCTTTTTTTGTCATTGTCTCGCTGAAAACAAACGATACACATTAGCAGACATCTATTAATGGTGCTAAACAGTTTGTAATGTGTAGGCCTCTCTCCGTAATAAGTAAGTTAAGGTAAAAAGGTTAGTAAGGTAAAAGCACACACAGAACTGTTATTAAACACTTCAAGGGGTATTTCACTGAAAAACATAAAGTGGGCTTAAATGGTACCACAGTGAGTAAGGGTGTAAAAAGTTAAATTAAAAAATGTAAGATATGTTCACAGAAACATGCATGGAACTTAAATATACTGTGGACTATACATCATAGTCATTTTCATTGTGCCCACATTAATAAGTGTTACGGGGTTTTTTTCCATTCAAGGTTATAGTTTGCATGTGTTTTGTGGCACTGTACCATTTAAGTATAGGAAATTATGATCCGCACTCACGAGAACAATCTTTTTTCTTTTATTTTACATTTATTACTGATGGGAAAAGATGAATGTAAATATGAATATGAATACTGATGTCTTTTCCCATCAGTAATGAATGTAAAATAAAAGAAAAAAGATTGTTCTCGTGAGTGCGGATCATAATTTCCTATACTAAGTAACTCAACAGATTGACGCACCAAAATAAAAAGATCAAGTAACGCAAGAGCGCAGTGCAAACGACGTTGTTAAACTGTACCATTTAAGCCCATCTTTAAAAATAGTTAATTTATTAAAATAATATGCTCTACATAATTTATGATGCATTTATTTGTAAATTAATATAAAATGAATAAAAAACACGTAGTGTTTGTAGTTCACATGCTTAATTAGTTGACTAATGGTTTCTTTCAGATCTTTCAGTAAGACTAATGGTTTGACCTTGAGATTAGCTTTGTGTGCAAGCTAATAAAACTCATATTTACATTTAAAGGAAAATTATAAAGTACTATTTGTTCATACAAACAAAAAACAATCCATTTGTCTCTTATTTGATATATTATTAGTGTATTTACCACAGAACTGGCTGAACACTGCAGAAATGTGTGTGTTTGTGAAGGGTCCTGAAGTGTGTTTGTGAGGCACACGGCTGGGGCTAACGCAGAACTGCCAGATGTGATGGTGTGCGATAAAACTGTCTGGCAGCTAACAAATTACTGGACTGGTTAAAATAATGATCAACATAAAATATGATTTGATCTTTTTTTAAATTTGATGTCAAAGTTGAAAGTGGGCTTAAAGGGTACACTTAACCAATAAATAACAGTAACAAATATACATGTCTGTATGTAATACATCCAAGTGCATTTATGTAAGTAAAAAGTTGTTATTTAATTCATATAAACTGTTATATTTAAAAGTGCTAAACTGAGTGATGCATGTTTATTGTCATATTAAACATTGCAACAGACATAATTTAGTTATATTAGACGCGTACTTTACACTCTAAAAAATGCTGGGTTAAATATAACCCAGCGCTGGGTTATATTTAACCCAGCATTTTTTAAAGTGTATCTTATTTAACCACAATCCTGAGATTTGCATTAAAACTATCACATGCACACTTGTACACTGTATGCCTTTGAACAACTGCATTCAAACCACAGCTGGGACTTCATAGGTACTTCTCAACCTGAAGGATGCATGCTAGGCTGCCACGTCTTCAAGCTCCCTCAAAGGCCATCTCGATTTGAAGGATGCTTGGAGGATGTTTTGTGTCTTTCTTTTGGCTTGTTTTGACGGATGCATCAAGTGTATTTTTTGTGTCCTCCAAACACCCACAATCCTTTTCACTTATTCCAATTCACAGAAAATAATTAGCGGAAGGTGAATCAGCACTGAGCTCACCCAATTTCGTTATACAATGCTAGAAAAAAAAAGATTTTGGAGATCAAGGCAAATGTTTTCTTTTGTTTTGTTGTAAGTGAATCACATAATGCTAAACTGTGCATAATGTAAACCATGCACAGATGGTTGTCATTCACTGTATTGCATTAATAGAAAGTCAGCTTGGGCATCGTAAACCATGTTTCAGTGTTAAAGAACTACAGTCGGGATTCACTAAATACACACAGTGAAACATTAGCGATAGGGATGCCGTTATTTTTGCTGCTAACTTCATTGCATATGCATCTGCAGGAGTTTCCCTTCCTGATGCATTGAGTACCAGGAGAAAAATAATGGATATCAAAGTCAAATTATGTTTGGAATAAGTGTTCCAAAAATATTCCAAATATTAGACAACACAATAAAGCAAGGCACAACAGAGTCCATTCAAAATACAGTTAATAAATGTAAAAAGTGCTTCATGTGATGAGGTGTGTTGCAGGTTTGGAACGGGGAGCAAGTATTACAGCTCTGAAATATATGTCTAGTGTAGGAAAAGATGATGCAAAAGAGGCAGCGGGGTCATGAAATGAAAGGGAGACACCTGTCCATGATTCAAAGTAATTACCATGGTATGAGAGAGGGGACATAAAACAAGTTATATTGAGAAGACTGAGGACTGGACATTAAAACCTAAATAAACCCTTCGAATCTCAGGAAAACATCCTACAGGACAGAAAAGTGCTTCATGTGATGAGGTGTGTTGCAGGTTTGGAACGGGGAGCAAGTATTACAGCTCTGAAATATATGTCTAGTGTAGGAAAAGATGATGCAAAAGAGGCAACAGCAGCGGGGTCATGAAATGAAAGGGAGACACCTGTACATGATTCAAAGTAATTACCATGGTATGAGAGAGGGGACATAAAACAAGTTATATTGAGAAGACTGAGGACTGGACATTAAAACCTAAATAAACCCTTCGAATCTCAGGAAAACATCCTACAGGACAGTGACATCCACCACATACTCCTGTCCTGTAGGATGTTTTCCTGAGATTCGAAGGGTTTATTTAGGTTTTAACGTATTACAGTGACGCAGGACATTTGAGAGATGAAGAATCAGCTGTAAGAAATGGGTATAGTAGAGTATAAAGTAAAACATATGGTAGAATGTGTGAATAATGAGCAAGGAAGAAATATTTGATTCATTTCACAAGGAGGGCTGAGACTGGAAGGATGAATTTCAGTAAGAAGTGATGAATTAAAATTAGACAGCAGATGGCAGCGATGCAACATTTTGGATGCCAACTACTGCAAAACAGCAAAAACGATGAAGGAAAGAAGTGAATAAATATTAAATTGTCAATATCTAGTAATAGTATAGAAATAGCATAGTATAGAAAGAGTCCTTTAGAGAATGGCAACAGCAGTGGGCAGAGAGATTAAATAAAGGCATTGATGTAGCATTCAAGATGAAGTTGTTTCTGTGAAGAACAGAAGAAATAGTTATGAGCTGATTAAGAATAGGACAGTCATTTGAACAGTACACTATATTATAGGGAGACAAGCAGCGTTTGTTTTTTGTGATTATTGTCATGTTTTAGAAACTATGGAACATGTGCTTATGTTGGCAGACAATATGAAGAACAGAGGAAAAACATAATGGAATTAAGAAGGATCTAGTGGAATGGTATGTTAGTGAACACGCCAGAGAACGTGATGCTTCACTGACTCCCAGCACCAGCAGGTGGCGGGAATTCGCGGTCCAGTATGCAAAGAAGAAGAGAACGCGCCCAATGAGAGTGCGTCGCCGCTGACGCTGCAGCGAATATGTGCGCGTCACTTCCGGCTGTGAGAAATGGCGGGCGGTGGAGACAGAATGGCGGAGCTGGAGGACGGAGAGCTGGAGTCAGATCAGGAGGAGCGAGTGCAGGTGAGCAGAGTGTGTTTGTGTTTGTGTTTGCAGCCTGCTCTGATCAACCTTATTAGCCGCTCTCAGCTGTGCGAATGATTCGTGCTGCTTGTATACATCGCTTCAAAAGATGCGAGTGCTGCTGAACCCCGTTCACTTCATTAACACGTTCCTGGTCTTGTTCGTCTTTGTAAACAAACTCGCTGTGTCTCTGAAGGGACTGTCGGCTTACTTCAGAGACAGCATACAGCGGTGGCCAAAATCATTAGAACACATGTATTCTCAGCAGCTAAAAGTGGTTTGAAGTCAGTTATTTCTATCTTTTGCTGTAGTGTGTCAGTAGGAAATATCAGTTCACATTTCCAAACATTCATTTGGCCATTAATGGTAATAATGCAATGGAGCTCTGATCTGATCATCATCAGTCTGTCTGGAGTCACATGAAGAAACAGAACAAACTGAGACAGACTCAATCCAGAAGAACTGATGCTTCTAGAAACCTCCTGCAAAGCTCCTGAGAAACTCTGCTCAAGTGCACAGAGGGCTAAAGCTGCTTTAAACACAGAGGAGCTCACACCAAATGATGATTTAATGTAGTTAATAGAAGTTAATTGATAAAGAAAATCTGTTTATGACATTATTTTTGACAGCATTTTTACACAAGTGCCTCAAACTTTCAACAGCTCTGTAGCTTTGCAAGAGTTTCTTGAAGCATCAGTTCTTCTGGATTGAGTCTGTCTCAGTTTGTTCTGTTTCTTCATGTGACTCCAGACAGACTGATGATGATCAGATCACATCTCTGTGTGCAGCACTAACATATATCTCACTGCATTATTACAATTAATGGCCAAATGAATGTTTGGAAATGTGAACTGATATTTCCTACTGACACACTACAGCAAAAGATAGAAATAACTGACTTCAAACCACTTTTAGCTGCTGAGAATACATGTGTTCTAATGATTTTGGCCACCGCTGTACATTCAGTTATTCATGGAGAAAATCAGCTGTTTTTGATCGCCGCTGTTGCAGGTGTCATATTTGCAGAGCACGGGTCCGTCTCTGAGCTCTGCGTCCGTCTCTGGATACCGCAGCCTCAAGAACACCGACTCCAGCGACAGCGACTCTGCGTCTGAAGACGAGGCCGTGCCCTGGAGACAGAAGCGGCTCTGCAGCTCCAGCGCTCCCTCCGGACGCAAGGTCAACAACATCTGGGGCTCCGTGGTGCAGGAGCAGAGCCAGGAGTCTGTGGCCGCAGAGCTGGGCATCATGGGAATGGAGGGCAGCGTCAGCATGAGCAGTCGCCAGAGCGAGACCTACAACTACGTCCTGGCCCGCAAGATGATGGAGAAGGAGCGCGAGGAGGAGGAGGAGGGCTTGAGGAGCGCGCTGGACGGGGAGCTGGAGGGCTACATGCAGCAGAAGAGCTGTCTGAAGAGGAAGCGGCCTGCTAAGGAGAGGCTGGGCCCGCGGGCCGAGATGGACCTGAGGGGCCGGTACCAGCTCCGGGAGGACGACCCTGAAGACAGAGTGGTGGATGAGATCGCTCACAGGTCAGGAAAAACACATGCAATCTGCACAAATGCACTGCAGAACTGTTGTAAATTATTGGTAAGAATTAAAAGTAAATATAGCTTCAAAACATACAAGCAGATATACAGTAATGAAGGGGGGAAAAGACAATTGCAAGTGATCAACACAAAGCACTTTCAGTATCTGGGAGGGCTTTAAGTATCGAAAGTTTACAAGCAATCATAGTTATGGGTTTTCCTTTTTGTCTCGCAGCACATATCCTGTGCAGTGAAGCCGCCGCGTTTGTCTCTAGCGCACACACCTGCCATATGCGGGAAAAAGCCAAATGCCATTTTTATGTTAGTCATTTTAAAAAGTGAACAAATGTGTGTGTGTGTGTATATGTGCACACAGACACACTGCCGTACAAAAGTTTTATATCAGTAAGATTTGAAGTCTCTTACGCTCATCAAGGCTGCATTTATTTAGAAAAAGATTTATAACTTTTTTTTCCATCAAAGTATCTTAAAAAAAACAAGAAAAAAAGGATCACGGGTTCCAAAAAAAAAAAAAAGTAGCACAAATATTTTCAACATTGATAATAATCAGAAATGATTCTCGAGCAGCAAATCAGCATATTAGAATGATTTCTGAAGATCATGTGACACTGAAGACTGCAGTAATGCTGCTGAAAATACAGCTGCGCATCACAGAAATACATTACAGTTTAAAAAATTTATCAAATCAGCCTTGATGAGTATAAGAGACTTATTTAAAAACATAAAAAATCAGTAGATCCCAAACTTTTGAACATCTGTATGTGCAAATATATATATAAATTCTACGATAACATAAGATTGTTATAATTCAAGATATGGGGCAGAAAATTTATATATTTCAACCCTCTACATTGCGAGTAAATCACTCGCATATGCGACTAAATCTTCACTCTGGGCGACTAAATGATGTCTAATATTAGCCAATTGCTAATAAATTAAAATGAATGGATGTGCAACGCACCTGTATTTAACGTACCGTAAACTCTTGTGTGAAGGCGCACGACTCGCCGTCGCTTTGTTTCACACACACGCAGCGAGAGAGGGAGAGAGAGAATTGACGCGCTACCTATGCGCGCTACATGTAAACGATATTCTTTGTTGTATTTTGCTGTCAAAATAACGGAGTTCCTTTGGAATTCTTCCGCTTTTAAGAACTACCGCTTTCTCCGGTAGTGGGCGGAACTAATGCGCAAACAGCAATCTCATTGGCTGGCGCTCACCTATTATCGTCCCTGTTTTGATTTCAGCAAATCAGTTCGAGCGAACGCACACAACCTGATTAATATTCATGAATCCAGTAGCTCATTAATCCTTGGTGCGTTTTATATTGTTCTTATTAGTAGAATTCGTATTATTATTATCTTATCAGTATTTTTGTTAGTTTTTCCCCAATTTTTTTATTTTTTTTACAGAAACACTGAATGACCAAAAAAGCACCACCACCAGTCCGAAGTTCAGTTAAAATGACTAATATGCATTCATACATGGTTATCAAGTTTTAATTCTAATTACTAAAGTTCTATCATTAAATAATATTGATTATCATATTATAATGCTTGACTGACTGATGTTAAAAGTGTACTTTCAGATATTTATAAAACTGTGCCATTTTACAAACATACATGTGTGTATATATCTATATCAGTCTGGCGAGTAAACTAAAAAATGTACTAGCCAATGGCGATTCAATTGCCAAGGTGTTCGTAGAGGGCTGTATTTATATCATTTCATATAGTTAATATCACACGAAGAGTGCCGTTTTTTTTCTCCAAATGTAAGCATGATTCAATAAACGAAGTTAATATTAAGAGACTTACATTTTAGACACCGTATTTCCTGTTTTTGCTCTATTTCTCCAACAAATATCATTCCAAACACAGCCACAGCGCTGTTTTGTGTCTCTGAGCAACAGGACGGTGTTTTGTTCCTGAATGAATCAACCGTTTAAATGACTCTGTTCAACCGCAATGACTCAGTTTAACAGGGACTTGCTGCCACCTACTGGCGGTTTTAATTTCACATTTAAGGTACCTTTTCTAAAATAATACATAATAAATTTTTTAAATAATTTCAAACATCTGTTTTTAATGTTTTATGTTTAAAAAATATCAACATTATTTATGCATTTGTAACTGCAGGTTAAAGTATTCCATGTCCCTCAGAGCTGCATTAAACAGTGT